GGGAGGGGGAGAGAGAGAAACAACACGGGCAATATGTCGCATCAAATGCCACAGAAAGGTAAACCACTCTTTGTGTAACAAATAAGTTCAAAGCCTCGCCATCCTAGCATATCGCTTAGGGAACCCAAGAGTGCGCTCAGTGCTAGTGGCTTATGGCTGAGCACCGCCAGCTGTGCCAACCTCACACTTACCCTGGCTTGTTCAGGTACGCCTATCAATCTATCTGTGCTTTAGCTTTCTTTTTTTTCTTTTTTTTTAGCTCAGCCACCCTGCCACCTGTTGGCAGCTCAGCTCGGGCCGTGAATCGAACCGGCGACCCTGTTGCTCAGAGCTGGCACTCTTGAGCAAGCTCTTAACCAACTGAGCCACTCGGCCGGCCCCTAGCTTTCTTTTTAAGAAAAAGCCAAGCTGTTCCGGTGTTTCAAAAGTACTAAAATCTCTCTGAATTATAATTTGTTGCTTCACAACTGAAACTCCTCATTTTTTCTAAAATTAGATCTATTTTAAAAATCATTTTAAGTTCCTAGTATATAATTAGTTTCTTTAAGCAAAAATAAACTTCCAAAGAAATATAAGGAACAAAAGTCTGTTCCTAAGAAAACCCAGGACATGAACAGGATGTCGCCCCTAATTTGTGTTCGACAGAAGCAGTTGGTACTTTACTGTACTTTCAACACAAAATAATTTGAATGTATTTAAGTGGTGGCTTAAATGACAAACAGTAATTATATTTTCTGGAAAGAAAACATCGGGTATTTCCCAATTCCATGAAAACACCCAATCTAATCTATACTTCAGTAACTTTCTTTGACCTAATGATCACATTTCACTTTACATAAATGTCATTCAGTTTCTTTTCCTGCTTTAGAAATATTATTTGCGACAGGCTAATCAAAGAGTAATTAATTAAGTCAGTGGCAGTGCTTCTAACAAAAATGTTATATACCTAGATGCCTGTTTAAACCATTAAATTTATTCTACTTTAAAAGCCCTCCATTAGGTGACATTAAAAAAATTTATTCAGATTTTAATTAATTTGGATTTTTCATCTTCAATAGATTTTTACTTGATTAATTAGTTTGAGTTTGGGCTTACTGTATGTATGCATGCTCATGTGTGTGTCTCCACTCCCTCCACCCCCACTAGTCCCAAAAACTATTTTAAACAAGTTGTTCAAACTTTTCCCCTTTCAGTTACTATAAAAGAACTCATAATCTTTACTCTCCTAGTCTTACATATATAGCACTAAGGTCTAGAACCAGGTGTTCTTCAAATAACAAAACCCTCAGTGTACTTTTATCACCCCCTCACATAATCTTTTAAATTCTCACCACTTATTTCAGAGGTAAGTGTTCTGAGAGAAATCTCAAAGATTTTAACCTAACATTAAGTCATTAATTTATAAGTGAATAAATATATAAAATAGTCTAAACTTCTAAATGTAGGAAATGGCTAGGAAAAGTTAGTCTAAAACTAAAAAACAAGGCTAAGAAAGATACTGTTCTTTGGGCATGAAAGCAAATATTTAGACCCAGCTGAGAAGGGAAATCAAAGCGAAAGATGGGTTCATCCTACCTGAGTGAATCCAAGTTTGATTCGTCTTTGTTTGAAGGTCTTGGCAAACTGCTCAAGCTCCTCAAGGTCACTGGGCTCCTCCAAGCTGGGGGTGTCAATTCGCTTTGGTGTTGACTGGCTCTGTGGAAGTGTCTGAATGGGGGTGGCTGCTATTGTGCGTGTTGGGGTTGCTGGCTGTTACAGAAGGAACAGAGGATAAGCACACACACACAAAAAGGGTATTTCAGCTTACAATGGAATGTGCTGGAAGCAAACAACTGCAGGACACAGCTGTATTTGGAGGACTCTGAGGACCATGGGAGGTTGTAGAGGACAAAATACAGTGCTCACCGAGCAAAGCAGACATGAAATTATACAACACTGTAGTTACAGTTAATGTGAAAATGTACGTCTACGGAAAAAACCTGAATACGTCAAAATGAAACCCAGTATATGTGGGCTTTCCAGTGGTCGGAATACATGTACGTATTTTCTGCCTCTTAATAGATTAGTCTTCTTTTTAAGAATCTATTTCATAAACATACCACTTAAATTGTAAGTTTCAAAACAGAGGGGCCATATCTGTCTTGTTTACCCTATCGTATCTCCAACTTGTGAAACAATATTATAAAAATAGTAAGATTATCAATTTACATAATCTGGAAATGTTTCTGACGAAGTATATGTGATTTTCAAATCTTAATAACAAGGCATGCATCCCACCGATCAGAATAATTTTATAATATGAGGAAGACATTGGAAGGAACCATAAGCCACAAAATCAAAGCAGCAAACTTTTCAAATTGAGGTATGATTGACACATGAAACAGCTACCTGTTTAATGTACGAGTCTGCAGGTAAGCAGACACCCATAAATATGCGTATATACCGTCACCATGACAACGCCCTAAA